ATATAAAGTTGTCATGACGTCCCTCTTCCATGTGCCAAGAAGATTAATAAGAAGAGAGATATCTGAGCTCTTCCACCAGGTGCTTGTACAACATATTTATGAAACAACTGTAACTACAAGTCGCTGCTCCATAGCTGGTCAAATCTTCACGCAAATGGTTTGGAGCTTCCAGAAGTAACTATGGACAAAATATTACTTTTTTCCATTACACACATGGTGAACACATTTGGTGGATGCCTTTTCCTTAGAGACATTCAAGGTGAGACTGGACAGGACTCTGAGCACTAGATGTAGCTGTAGACATCCCTGCAGGGCATATGGACCAGATGACCTTTCAAACTCTCTTCCAACTCAAATAATTCTATGATACGTGATCAGGCTCCCATATTTAGCAGAAAAGAGAACAAAAAAAAAAAATCAAGAAGTTTTTCTTCCAGAAAGTCTTGAATTTTCCCATTCAAGAGTGAGCGGTGATGCACGCATCATTAATTTCTATGCAGAAAACATTGTTCACTTCAACCAGCAATTAGTGGTAACATTTCTATCCTGTGCAATGATGAGATTTTTATGCTAATCATTACGCAGCAGTAAATTAATCATTTGGGCACATTTAGATGATATGTATATTTCATGAGACAGATATAGATATCAAGATTGGTTTGATATTTACTCATGGCAAATGAAAGAGTCTCAAATTGTTATGGGGGGAGCATACTAACTAAATATACAGCCAGAAATGTTTGCAGCGTAACAGCAGAAGAAGCTGTTTCCTTGTACCAAGAAATAGCTCTCTTTGCTTTTAATTATTTTAGAGGAGGTAAAAATCTTGTGGGATTGAAATTCCAATAATGCTTTGACATACAAAGAACAAAAACAGCAACTTGCTTTCTGATCCCGTATTTTTCCTTTTATTACTGGCAAAATTACCTATGTTACATTGTGTAGAATTGAAAAGAGATTTTTCATCAGCACTTGTGCTATCATCTAGTCGGCTAAACGAATTATGTATCTGACTCGTCCCTCCATAACTATGTCTGAAAGCTTTGTGTTGTAGCAAACAGGAAGGCTGCCCAGGGGCCTCCCTTCTCATCGGATGTGAGAGATTTGTAATACCTTCAGGAAAATATTTATTTGAAATTGAAATTTTTTGACATGTATTTAAATACTACTGCTCTTTTCTTCAGCTCTAAGCTCACAGACCTTTTCAGGCAAAAAACCAATCTAGTCCAAAGCTGACAGTATTTTATTTTATCAGAAGGAAACATACACGTGGTCTCTGTATCTTAGAATGTCATCAAAATACTTACTGAAAGCACATATTTATGACAGCTGATGCTGACAATAATAGAAATAACATCTTCAGCTTCTACTTCCTCAGCTAAGGTAAGACAACAGTGTTGTAGTGGTATACAAGTAGAAAGTAAAGTTATGTTGCTATACCTGGATCACTTAAGAAGTGTTCATGAACCAAAAATTGACTATGCTATGTATGTTTAATTGCCAGCTATTGCTAAAGCATAATTGCTACACTGAGTGCGGATTAAGATGAGCTGTTGCACAGCGAGTACAAAAGCCCACAGGGAAAGAAATTCATTACCATCTCTCCATTATGGAAATTTTTGAGAGGCACATCTCCACGAGAAAGGACATCAGGAGAATAATGCGAGCATGTGAAACTTAAGATCTGAGAACCGTTACAAGTCAGACCAAATAGAACAGGTGAGTCAAAAAGATCAAAAAGATCATAATCAAAATGATTATTATTTTAATAAAACCCTGCTTTTTAGGGAAAAAAAAAAGATTGGTTTTCAATTCAAGAAACATAAGTTTTAATTTTACCGTTAACATAACAAAAAGATTGTGATTTTGATTTTACATCTGCTCTGCAGGTCTGCTATGCATCCAAAGTTGCTATGAAGGTTCAATTTTCATCAGGAGCATGATGACCCTAGTTTTTAAGGCTTATTTAATCGACGAGCCAACAAGCTCATCTTGGGATGTACTGTGGAGTCAATGCACATACGGCAGCATTGTTCTCTTCTCCAGAGAGCATTCCTGACTCCAAAGACATCAAAAGATCTGACTTGAGGCATTTAAGAATTTAATTACAGAATCACAGAATTGTAGGGGTTGGAAGGGACCTTCAGAGATCATCGAGTCCAACTCCCCTGCCAAAGCAGGTTCCCTACAGCAGGTCGCACAGGTAGGCATCCAGGCAGGTCTTGAACATCTCCAGAGAAGGAGACTCCACCACCTCCCTGGGCAGCCTGTTCCAGTGCTCCGTCACCTCACTGTAAAGAAGTTCTTGCACAATTTGTGCAGAACTTCCTATGCTGCAGTTTCCGGCCGTTTCCCCTTGTCCTGTCTCCACTCACCACTGAAAAGAGTCCGGCCTCACCATTCTGCCCCCCACACCTTAGATATTTATAGACCTGGATCAGGTCCCCTCTCAGTCTTCTTTTCTCAAGGCTGAACAGACCCAGTTCACTCAGCCTTTCTCCATAGCAGAGATGCTCCAGGCCCTTCACCATCTTCGTGGCCCTCCGCTGGACTCTTTCCAAGAGATCCCTGTCTTTTTTGTACTGGGGAGCCCAGAACTGGACGCAGTACTCCAGATGAGGCCTCACCAGGGCAGAGTAGAGGGGGAGGATCACCTCCCTCGACCTGCTGGCCACGCTCTTTTTAATGCACCCCAGGATGCCACTGGCCCTCTTGGCCACAAGGACACACTGCTGGCTCATGGCCAACCTGTCGTCCACCAGGACACCCAGGTCCTTCTCCGCAGAGCTCCCCTCCAGCAGCTCATCCCCCAACCTGTACTGGTGCATGCAATTATTCCTCCCCAGATGGAAGACTCTACACTTGCTTTTGTTAAACCTCATCCGGTTTTTTTTCTGCCCAGCTCTCCAGCCTGTCCAGGTCTTGCTGAATGGCAACACAGCCTTCAGGCGTGTCAGCCAATCCTCCCAACTTCGTATCATCAGCAAACTTGCTGAGGGTGGCCACTATCCCCTCATCAAGGTCACTGATGAAGATGTTGAACAAGACCGGACCCAGCACAGACCCCTGAGGAACACCGCTAGTTACAGGCCTCCAACCGGACTCTGCACCACCAACAACGACCCTCTGTGCTCTGCCAGTCAGCCAGTTCTCAACCCACCCACTGTCCAATTCACCTATAGAGGAAAAAACACACAAATAAAGCCTGTTTTGAGGTGAGCACATGTGAAGACTTGTAACAACAAATATAATTTCACTGAAAACTCTCCTGAACCTCTGATGTGCAGAGCACCATACCTCAAGGAAAAAGGATTTAGAACAAAAATGAAGAGGCATCCAGTAATATCTGTGAAGGTCAAAAGGCTGCATTCAGAGGCAGCTGAGGGTCCATCAATGATACGCACCACTAGCTACACTTTTGTCATGTAAGTAAGAAAAAACAAACACTTGTCACGCCTTGAAAGCAGAGGAAATTTCTGCTATCTTTCTTTAAATAGCATTTCTTCAAAAAAAGAAATAGCAGGATATCTCTAGGCACCCCTTATGTTCCTGAAATGATTTGGAAGGAAAATTGAAAGATTTAATTCAGTTGATGTAAAGCCACTATTAGGGGGTTTATCGTGGTAAACAGGTATCACAGTTATTAATTCCATAAAAATGAGTGGCTCATCACTAAGCTATTGCTCAACTACTGAACTCATAAACAGCACCAGAGATGGGCTGCCACTCAGTTTAACACTCTGTTACATTAGTTGTTGTATAACCAAGATGTTATAATCACAATATAATTGTGTATAATCAATAGATATCAAGATGTTATAATTGCAATATAATCAAGAGAGTAAGGCAAAGCAGACAACGATAACAAAAAGAGAATTAGTGGAAGAGCTTACCCTTGGGTTGAGCTCACCAGAAGACACCAAAAGAGAGGATCTCCAGAAGAGATCCTTCCCCTCTGGTAGCCAGCTCTTAAATAGGTCTAGGAGGGGTGCAGCCTGGCTCCACCCCTTCCGGCAGCACAGGTGAATTGCCTTCAGCTGTGCTCCTCTGGCTGACTCATGGCTCATCTCAGGTGATCAATCAGAGGTTCAGGCCGTGACTCAGCAGTTCCCATACAGTTGTTTTGCGTTGATTAGACTGCAACACTTGGTTACATCAGTAAGGCTGCCTGTTGCAAAACTTAAAAGGAGAAGAAATCACCATGTCACACAGAAATGAGAAGAAATAAATGCCCCACAACATTCCCCAACAGCAGTCACATCTTACCTCTTGACACCTCTCAAAGTTTGAATATACATAATCTTTCAGCAGAAAAACAAAACAACAACAACCAACCAAAAGCAAGAATTAAATTCTCACATTAATTCTTCCTTGAAAGAGGTACCAGGGTCCTCTTGCCTTTGTTCCAGCAGAGCAGGGCACCCCAGCAAAGAGGGCTGCTCTGAGAATGTCTCCAGCAGCAGGAATCAAAATCTGCTTTTACGCTTCGTTTGGACATCAGCTGGCAGGTAGTAAAGGTCACAATCACAACTTGGATGGCTTTTTCTGGAATATCATCAGTTCCAGAGAAAAATTGCCACGTGCAATTCTCTGCGTATCACTGTGGGGAGTTTTCCATCAGAAAGAAGAGAACAAGGCACAGATTTCTGTGGGGAGGTGACCAAAGACACATGGGAGCTGTTGCTGTCTAGAGATCTGGACTGAGATCCTGTTACTGACTTCCTATCCTCTATCCTGGTTTATCTGAGTCTTTCATGAAGTAACTTCTAATATGATTTAACAGCAGGAACTGAGTGAACTATTAAAAGCCATGCTATTTTACCAATTTGACCATTCTACCATACATTACCATTAAAACAGCTGAGATAAATTTGTTCTGAGACCAAAAAGCACATTATTACCTTAAAAGTGAAAGAAGAAAAGATTAATTGCACATCATTTGAATACACAGGCTGAAAGACAGAAAATAAAACCATAAATATGTACTAACACAATGATTATTCTGATGCGACAAATTTATTTTGTTGTATTTTTTCTGCTGCAAATGATCAGTTTGCATACAAATGATTACTTCATCATACCAAAGAGATACCATACTTTCATCAGAAATTTTACAAGTATTCAGGTAACTGTGAAAATCATAAATGGAAAACGTTAAAACAGCAAAAAGAACCAGGAGTGTGTAAGAGAGTATACGCTTTGGAGAAAACAGACAAATGCACATGTGCAAAATCAGGGTGAAAAAAGGAATTTCCCACAGCTGTAGACCACGTGTCTACACGGGGACTCACAGTCTTCACTGATGAACAGAAATCTTCTCTCTTGACTCTTTATTACCTTGGCAGCATCTCTTCCATGTCAGCAATTATATAGGAGACAACAGCCCAAACAGCAGCACAGAGATTCATCTGGTTTGGATCCTGAACTGTCATCGTGTCCCCTTGAGAATGATGAAACCAGAAGTATTTACTGAGGTCATCATGCAAGCTGGCACCTACCGAGAAAAATGGGCAATATTCCATTATAGGAATACAAATATTTAAAGCAGACAATAAAACTTGAATCCATTTCTGCACTGCTTATTATTAAATCCACATACAACTGTATAAAGTTCCATATAATAACTGCACAGAGCCATGGCATGTGCTGGTTGTAGGTTTATGTTAGCTGACCTGAGTCTACATGTGGCAACATAACTTCACATCGGGAGAAAGCTGCACTTCCCCGGAGAGATTCATTCCCCCTCTAACAGTGTGCATCCATTTCCATCTAAGACTACCAGAGTCCAATCAAGAAAATCCATACAATAACTCACACACAGCAGCACTTCCTTCAGTTCTCAATTCCACAGAATTCTTTAGTCATGAGACCTCGTATCAATATTTATGCCTACTCCGTCGATAAGTAATTGGTTAGTTATGAGTCCTTTTTTTGCTGTGACCTGTGCCAGAAAAGCTTTTTGGTTCTGATTACGAGTCTCAGTTCACCGCAGTGATGTGCTGTTTCAGAGCAGTTTTCCAGATCACCTGAGATAACCCAGCACGCTACATCACAGCGGCTGTCAAGAGTCCCTGTCACCCAGGGGCAGATACAAGTTGGGTAATAGAAGCCACGGCTCTTCCTAGTCAGGCACAAATGGCTCCCTCTGGCACACAGAAAGGTCTGAGCTTCCTCAAGCAGCGTGGGCTCAGGGAGTACAAATACTGGTGAGGAATCAAGTCACTTAAGGCCTCAAAGAAGAATGAGAGCAAAAGAAGTGGAGGGAGCTGCTGTCCAACAGACACTGCAGCACAGACACTGGTGAGGTGTTTGTCACTTCTCTTTCGGGCCCTCCTCCACGTGGTCCAGCATCCACTGCCTCACCCTGACAACCTTTCTCCTTGCTATTAATTCACTTTGAGTTCGCTATCCTTGCCTCTTGTTTCTGCTTTTATCCCAGAACCCCAGGATGGCTGAGGCCGGCAGGACTCTGGGCCATCTGGCTCACCCCTGCTCCAGCACGGACACCCAGAGCAGGGCTCAGTCCCCAAAGGAGGAGACTTCAGGGCCTCTGGGCAACCTGTGCCAGCGCTGACACCGCACAGCACGGCAGTGCTGCCTGCTGCTCAGAAGGACTACAGTGCTCCACTCTGTGCCCACAGCCTCTTGTCCTGGCACTGGGCACCACTGAATAGAGCCTGGCTCTGCCTTCTTAACGTCTTCCCTTCAGGTGTTTATGTAGACTGATGTGGTCCCCCAGAACCTCCTCTGCACCATGCTGAGCAGGCCCAGCTCTCTCTTCCTCTTCTCACAGGAGTGGGGCTGCAGGCCTTGCAGCACCTTCAAGGCCCTGCTGGACTCTCTCCAGTACGTCCATATCTCACATATTGAGGAGTCCAAAACCACACACAGCTTCCATCTTCTTGTCATTTTATCAGCTTCCACTTGCTTTATATTACTGTAAACGACTCTCCCATCATAAGAAAACTTTACCTAAAATTCAGAAAATAAGTAAATGTGGTATTTGCCAACACCACATTGATTCCCTGCTTGTAATTTCTTGGGCTTGATTCATTTACCCTGCAAAATGCTGAGGCATAGAAAGCGTGCAGCTCTCTGTGTAGGAAGTTGCTAGCACAAAAGCCTCTTTTCCTTGGATGTTCACAGAGCAGAGAAAACAAGTTTTGATATGAGTTAAAGAGTAAGAGCTATGGGCCACAGTCAGAAACAGACTGAAATTACTCCTACCATATTAAGTACTATGGAAAAAAAATCAGGACTGTTTGATTATAAATAAGAAATAAATAAATTATTCATATCTTTACTTACAAGCAGTGGAAAATCAGCATCAGATGATGAGGGCTTTGATAAATTCACATGCGTTCATAAGACTTGCTATAATGAGTTTTTTTCTCTGAGATGCATGAAGCCTTTGATGAGAATGAAAGAAGAATTTCTTACAATATAACTGTACTTTCCTATAGTACATAGCTTTTGATCACTCATAGTCATCCAGGATATAGTCCAGCTCTTGCTGTGTAACTCCTGTTGTAATGGGAACTAATCTAGACTGCTTGTTTCACTACTCTTTTAGAGAGAAGGAAAACAAAAGGGATTTTTTCCATCTGATATGAAGATCCCTTCATAAGACACGATATGCAGAAAGACCAAAGGCTGCAACATATGCTTACATGGTTTTGTGATTTCATTTAAGAGGCTCTTCTTGCTCAAGAAACTTATTTACCATTGACTTGAATTGATGCAGTCCTACCCAAGTCTATGGGTTTGTTACGGGTTCTGAATTATGTTCCAATCACTGTAACATTCAATTTATGTCAACTCATATTCACTTTTTAAATTTTATTCTGAATTATTTTAAATATTGGCAATCATGAAGTAATTGAGCTGTGATAAATCCTTTAACTGATGGAATTCTGCCTTACAGACGCATTACAAGTTAAGTCACTGAGGCAAGTCCATTATAATTTTTTAACATTTTAATGAGAATCACAGCAAAAATGAATAGCCTGGAATTTGTAGTAGACATTCCACTAATCATAGTAGTTACTAACTTAGAGGGTAGTGTCTTTTGTTCTCTGCGAATGGAACAAATATAAATATGTTTACTTCGTAATGTTGAACTCTGCAAAATGTTGAAATATTTGTTTCTCTAAATTGATATAAAAATAAGATAATGATGTAACTTTGATGCCAAGCAGTTACTGTGTAAAAACTCATGCAGAAGGGTTTGTTACAAAGCGTGTCAGTAGAGAAAATACTGAAGAGTTCCTGATCTGGCCATGCTGACTCTTGAAAGTCTTTGGCTATTATTGAAGTCAGTGACCTGTAAATATTTTACGAGACTAATGAAAAAACCCAAAGAAAGGAGTTTCATCCTATGTAATTAGAAACAAACGTGAAAATCTGTATTCTTGGCCTTGAGTACAAGAGAAGTGTACAGTAGAGCACCCAGCACAAGCCTCTAGACATGAAACACCCTGGGACACAGATATAACTGTAAACAATTTTCACATCTCCTTCTCCAACTATGAGAGTGCTCTATATTGATGTTAGTTGCCAGAAGATATTTATGGCTTTCAGAGGTCGCCAGGCTGTGGGAAGATGCTGAATATTGCCCCTTCACCAGCACATGTCCCAGATTGAGTTCAACCTGTGCAAATGACTTTGAAGAGGGAAATTCTGAGGGGCTCTGCAGACAGAAGTCATGTCAGATTACTTAAATAAAGCCAGTGGGATCCCACAGCCCTTTTTCTGATATATGAACAGGAAAAAAAAATACTTTAAATATAACAGTTATCCCACAGAATTTAGGTGAAAGGGAGAGAATTCTGCATACTGCTTTGGACAGTAAGATTTCAGTGTAGATTGGCTGGCTGACCTTAGTGGATTCAACACAGACACTGTATTATTAACTCTTCTCAAGCAAAATCTGCCCAGTAGCCAAATTTGTCACTTCCAGAAGTTTGACAGTTATTGAGAAATCAGAAAAATTCGCTTACATACAAATTTTAAAGCACTAATTACCAATTATTTTGTGATTTTTTTTTTTTTTTTTTGTTTTGTCTTGTTTTTCCCACTGGAGAGTTTTGTTGTTATTATTTAGATGGTGTAAACTCCCTGAGGAACAGCAGATACATATAGTAACAAATGGAAGTTTATTTTCGCAAGCTATATAAGCTAGCAGTCAAGAAAAAACAGGTAAGTAGCCATGTCTCACAGAACTGCCAATAAATTATTTACCCATCTCCATGCTAACTATCTACAAAGTGGATAGCAACAGCTTCACAAGAGTGTTGAATGGTCTAGTTAAGTACTTTAAAATCCTCAGATGGGAGGTGTTACACAGGTATACATGAGATACGTAACTCTGATTTCCAGGTGGAACCAATTCACAAACAGAAAAACCAGTGATGGGCTCCATGCTCCACTGTTACGTTTTATGCTCTTTTCTGCTTTCCTTCTGTTCCAGATTGCAGAGCAAGAACACCCATAAAGAAAAAGGGAATGTTTGCCAAACAACCCTCTTTAATTGGCCTTTTTCAGTCTGTTCACATTTACAGTGATGCAAATCACATGAGGAACACTGCTGGCCAATAAGGAATTTAGTGAGAAACTGCTTTTAGCTGGAGGTAGTAAATGTTACGGCATGAAAATAGGGAATGTTAAAGGCAGCTGCCAAATACTGTACTCATTATTCAAATGCATCAAAAATACTGAAAATCAAAACCTGAAAATAATCAGTTTCAGTAAGATACTACATAGATAATTGATTACAGGATGGCAGGAATCCCTCTTCAGCAGAGTGATGCATTTCAGCTGTCTAAAGGCTGCCACTTAGGGCCATTTGTGACTCCCTTAGAGCCACAGAAGAAAATCTCATGTCTGGGTAAATGTTGAGGCCAACAGTCCTCCTGGGTTGGACCGTGTGTTTGCTTAGGGGCCTAAAGCAGACTCAGTAGGGATCTCCTTGAGGCAGGGAGGCACTGCCTTGCTCATCTGCCATTGGTGGGAAATGCTCACAAACACTCAGCCAATGCCTCTGACTTCTCAGTCTGGGCTTTAGGAGTTCTTTGTTGTGGGGGTTTTGCCTTTTTGTTCTTCTGCTCTCTACTCCTGTGATAATTTCCTTATACGTGACCTATTAGTGAGCATTGAGCAAGCTGCTGGTGAAACTGATTTTGTCCTCAGGTTACACAGCCAAGCAGCACAGCTTGTTCAACTTACTCCATTAAGGCAATTATTCTAAAAACATACAACCAGCGTGTGCCCTCCTGTGACCAGATGCCTGTTGAAAACTCAGACTGCACTGAGGGGCTTGGGGTGATGCTGGTGTCCTCTGAGCTGGCAAAATCATTGATCCCTTTGCACAGCAGGCAGGTGTCCTGTGATCAGATCCCACCTCTAGGAAACATCATTGCCAAGTGTTGCAGGCCTGCTACACACTGCTCAGCCAGTCCTTCAAACATAAATCCATTTTTCTCCTTCTCCCTTCAA